CTTCGGAAGGGAAGCAAAGCCGTTGATCCCGAAAAGATACCGACGTTAGCGGTGCCGGTGGTGTAGTGGTAAACGTGATTGCCTCTCACCCCAGCAGGCCTGGGTTCAATCCCAGTCGGCGCCGCCGGGATGTTCTGTGACATAACATCTCTGATCACGCCTTCCTTCGGGAAGTAAAGCCGTTGGTCCCCGGTTCATGAGTAGATGGGTCGATAGGGTCTAGGTGTGAGAGCTGCCTCCCTGGCGTCGGTGCTCAGCACGGAAAACAAGATCGACGGAAAACAAATCAAGGAAAAAATACCGACGTTCAATAAAGAAAAGAAGAAGAATACGTAACTTACGGTAAACTCTAGAAATTTGTATTTATTAATATTTGTATACATTCATTCCTCGCAAATAACTTATTCCAGGCACTCCAAACACAAGAGACGGCAACATGAACCACGTTGCCATCTCTTGTGTTTGAAAACTTAGAAACAACTTTAGTACAAAATATGACTTTTTCAAAAGTTAAATAAATTAGTTAAACAAAAAATACCCTCACAATTGTTTCAACCGTAAATAAATTAAAGTTCGTTTTATAAAATGTGACTGCAATCATGAAAATCTTTTTGCTCCATTGCCGATGCCATCATTTATCCTACTAGTAGTAACTGTAACGATTTTCAATTACAGTCTGTTTTCGGCAACCAAAATTTAAACATTAATTTCGCTGCATTTTCTCATTAAAACACTTCGCTGAATGTATTTAAGCGATTCCCTAGTCTTTCAGCTTCTGAGCAAACCTGTTATGTCAGATTGTTCTTCAAATGAAATATAGAACAACTGGTTAACACGCAGTTAAAATGGAAAGGTCGCCGAATAAAAAGAGATTGCCGACAATAGTCACACTCACCAGAGAAGTTTGGAGCGTTGTAAAAGTGTTATTAAACAGCTTTGGTCAATGATACTTTGGTATATAAAGGTAGAATAGCAAGCAGCAGATAAATGTGAACAAACACACACGTCATATGTGTGTGTGACGCTGAGAAATTACTAATAAAAGTGCGGACGCTGCTTAGATTGCCGAGAATACGTAAATCACCCTATTCAATTTTTGTCCCGTTCCGTTTTTTGGAATTTTCCGTTTTCGGCAAAACAAACTTCGATACACCGAGGAAGCTTTCAGGGTGAAGTCGATGGAAGTTCATTTCTATGCGATGAACATCGGGACATACCGAGAGGTTTTCAAAAGTGTTTACATTGGGCTTCAAAAAAAGATTCGGGATATATCAGGCATGGGCCCGAGTGACTTGGAGAACATCTTCAGTGACTGACAAACTTCTGTAGCCATTAGTATGCCCATCCTTTTACTGCAGGGAACAAAGATATAGGTATGTGCTTATAAGATTTTATAGGAAGCGAGGGGGTTTCACGGTTATCCCGGAAGAATTCAAATTCTACCTTCAACTTAAAATCCCTGTTTATATTTTTTTTTCTGGATTTCGTAGAGGTCCGATGAACTTCTTTAAACTTTCCTGTTGTTTTTAAAATTTCTTTGAAATTCACAAAAAGTCTCAAAATTTGCCATTTTTTTCTGAAATTCACAGATATTTCTATAACTTTACAGTACTTTCCTAACGTTATTAAATTTTTCCTGCCGTTTGCAGAACTTTCCTGACAGTTGAGGAACTTTTCTTATTTTTTTAGAACTACATTGAAGTTCATATATTTTTGCTAGAGTTCACAGAACTCTATTGAAGTTCTTGGAACTTACCAGGAGGACATTGAATTTTCATGAAGCTTACACAATGTCTCTCAAGGTCTTAGAATTTTTCGGAAGTTTATAGAACTTCTCTGAAGATCGAAGTATTTCCTTCAAGTTTGCAGTACTTGTCTTAAGGTTTTCACAAATTCTACTGAAATTTGTAGAACTTCCCTGAAGTTCAATGCACTTTTCTGAAGGTTGTTGAACTTTTCTGTTTCTCTGGAGTTTGCAAGAATTTTCTGGAATTCGCAGAACTTTATAGAAATTACTGGAAAAACCCACTAACGAAAAAAGATTTTACTCTCGTTCATACATAGTGTCTGAAGTAGTGCGCTGTAAACGCACAATGATGCGCTATATTGCCTATAAAAGCATATCAGTCTCATCTGCAAAAAACAGCAAGCCGAGAAAAACGCTGTTGAAAATTTATTTCTCCGTAGGCTCTTATGGATGAGACAACCTAGTTTTGGTATTTTTCACGGTATTTTCGAAACAAAATATGTAACTTTTAGTGCAAAGTGTAAAATGCCGGTAGTTTACAATCGATTCTAATGGATAACTCATTTCTGACAAAAATTCTTATGGGACTGTTATGCTTTTATGGGCAGTATAATACGCACTACTTCCGAAACTTCACACTTAGAAAAATTGATGTAAATTTAGGTCCTCTGAGACTGACATACTATATATTGAGTCGTAATAGACGCGAAATTCAGTTCAATCAAACGTACTTTCAAGTTTTTCAGTCTCCTGACATATTTGTGTACGTCTCATTCTTTATGTCAAAGATGGATTACGTCACGTGTAAGATTAAGTATTTCTAAGTGTGTATGTATAAGGCATAGAACGAGAATAAAATTGATTTTCACTAGTGGGTTTTTCCAGTCTTTAACTGTAACGACAATAAAGTCTTCCTAGAGTTCGGAGATCTTCATTGAAGTACGTATAAGTTTCCTGGAGTTTGTAAAACTTATGTACATGTACTTGCAGAAATATCCAGAAGCTTGCAGAACGCCCTTAAGGTTTGCAGAACTTTAGAATTTCACTTATGTTCAAAGAACTTACCGAAACAGTGCAGAACGTCACCAAAGTTTGAAGCAGTTCCTTGAAATTTTTAGAACTTCTTAGTTTGCAGAACTTTACTGGATTTTGCATAACTCCCCTGGAGTTTGCAGAACATCATTAAAGTTCGTAGATTATTCATGCAGCTCGTAGAAGTTTCCGACTGTTTGCAAATTGTTTTTGAAGCTCGCAGATTTTTCCTGAAATTCGCAATACTGTCCTAAAGTTAGAAAATCGGCACTGAGGTTTACAAAACTGCGCAGAAGTTCACAGAACGTCTTTAAAGTTTACACAATACTTTCTTAAAGTTCACTTCTGTTCCCTTAAGTTCACTAAACTTCTCTACTGTTTCCTTGAATGTCGCAGAAATTTCCTGAAAGCTTCTTTAGAGAGATATGGGAACAGCGTTGAAGCTTTGGCAACTCTGTAGTCACTCAGGATTTGGGCTACCTAATCATACGTAGCGAACCTCATGTGAGTTTGAGAGGCTTCATTAAGTTTGTGCTCCGGCATCATGTCGGTTCATCGGTGGTCGTTCACTTTCTAAGTGACGGTTCGAAAATCAACCTCGAACATTCCTGTATTATCGACACTATCGATCAAACGATTTGCGGACCGAAATTCGTCATCGTCATCGTCATGTAAATTTCAAACAAATATTTCGGCCTGAAATGGTGCGAGTTTTTCCTTTCTCTTCATTCAGTTTTGATCCAGTTCTTAACTGCATTAAATTAAGCGCAACTCGTTTCAAAAATCTGAAAAAAGTCACAGGAAAATATGGATGCATTAGATTTTTACGTAAGAACCAAATGGAAACAATGAACTTCGCTAAAAAGTATAATTTAGTGAAGTCCTCAGTGTTTTTCGGTAGCTTCGTGTCTTATTCTGGTGGAAGGAGTGCCATCGTAAGGTTTAATAGTTATAGTATTTCTGCTTACTGAGCAGAAAATCGTAGGATCAATCCCAGGATCGTCGGTTGCATTATGGTCGAATCGCTTGTTTATCGTGTATTTTGCGAAATTTGTCGTCGTCGTCGGTGCCGGGTTTGAATGGTTACAACAACTCGAGTAACGCTATGATTTGATATTAGGGGCTCAGTGGCCGTAGAGCGACAGTTTTTGCTTACTGAGCAGAACATCATAAAATCTAATCTCAGGCCCAGCAATATTCAAGATTAGTAAATCGTTTTATTTGTTAATATGACTACATGGAAATAACAGCAACTCGATGATTAAAAAGGAGCTCGTTTACCTAGTGGTAAAACGTTTTTGCTGCTTACTGGGCAGAAGACCGTGCGTTCAATCCCAAGCTCCTATTGCGTTATATGATCGTTAGGACATCAATTCAGCTTACCGTTTACCAAAACGAACCCTGCTGCAATCCCAACGCTCTTACCCACTATCCCAGTGATTCCTCGTGGTTGTGCAGAGGTGAGCTCGGCTTCCATCAAAACGAGTGTCACGTCAACACATTCCTACCCATTCCTTTCTTGATCTACGTACGGGCGAGGCCGGCGCTGATATTGCCTAGTTTGAGATCACCAATTTCTAGACATTGGTTCTCTGTGTAATTACAGCTGATCTTGCAATAACAGAGTAGCAACCGTGGGCGGTCAATCATGCTCATGCTCGTCATGCTCATTGAGGTTGATAAAAAGTTGGTTATAGCGGCAATATTGCTGATTGCATCTGAAACTGGACTGTGCCAAAAATGCACGTTTCCGTCAAATCGTTTTGATGTCTTCGGAGCACTTATTGCTTGCATCATAAGGAATAAGTGCACCCAAGACACCAAATTGGAAACAAAGTTGCAAAGTTGTTTCAAATACATTGCTCTATAACTTTGTCGAACTTTTTGCCTATCTTGAATAACTAATAAGTCAATACTACTCACTAACCGTAGAAACCACCCTAGTTTCACTCACATCAATAGAATATACTACAATAAATGAAGAAACACTACGTAAATTGAATCGCATGGAATCGGACTATCGGATTGCTTTCGATTAAGCGATTGAGCTCTGCATCATCGTTAATCGTAGTCTCATAACGGCTTTAAAGTAACTTCTGCATCGAGTGGTGATCATGACCTTGTTTAGGTCATAATTAATTTAAATTTCCACACATTAATCCACTTTAGCTGCTTAAATATATCCTCTTTCAATCCTTTCTCTTCCTTTTCACCGTTACAGCGGACAACGGTTCTTCGCAGTCCCCACTGGCTCTTACCGGTTCACGTCGGGGCAAATATATGAAAGTCGGCCCAAATGAAGCCAAAGGCGCTGACTATCTCTGCCTCACGCCAGGATGCATCCACTCAGGTGAGTACGCAAACACGTTTCTTAGTAGGCAATAAAATTTGATTTCTCAATTTTGATCATTTAACTTCGTTTCAACAGCCTCGAAAGCATTGGACCAGATGGATACCAGTGTGGAACCGTGTGACGATTTCTACAACTACGCTTGCGGCAAATTTCTACAGGACACCAACATTCCCGATGAGAAGGTGTCGGTCAATACTTTCTCGGTGATTGGTGATCGTCTGCAGGAGCAGCTGCGTTCGCTCGTTAGTGAGGAAATCCATGAGAATGAGGGCACGCCTTTCAAGCTTGCCAAGAATATGTACAAACTGTGTATGAATAAGAGTGAGTAGTGTTACTCTGTTAACTATGACAAATTTACTGAGTGTGATTTCGCATTTCCAGCGCGAATCGAAAATAAGGGCATCAAACCGCTGTTGGATATTTTGGAAACGTTAGGAGGGTGGCCGGTCCTGAATGGTGACGATTGGAATACGGATTCTTCCTGGTCCTGGGTGAAATCGGTAAAGGACTTCCGCATGCAAGGTTACAGCACTGATTACTTCTTCGATTTTTCGGTTGGAACCGATTTAAAAAACTCTACTCGTAGGGTTATTGATGTAAGGACATGTTTTGCTAATGGGAAATTGAATGACACTTAACTCAATACCAATCTCTGCTTACAGACGGATCAAGCTGCCCTGGGCATCAGTCGCGAATATCTAGTCAAAGGCATGGACAACCCAATCGTTTCTGCATACTACAGCTACATGGTCGACATGGCGGTATTGTTGGGAGCTGAAGAAGAACGCGCCAAACGAGAACTTATGGATTCGCTGAACTTTGAAATAGCCTTGGCGAATATCTCACTGCCAACTGAGAAACGTCGTAACGCTACGGCCCTGTACAATCCAATGTCGGTGAAGGAGTTCCAGAATAAATATCCGTACACCAATTGGGTCGAGTATTTCAATGTCATTCTCAAGGATACAGGCATCGTGATTGACGAGAATGAAATAATTATTGTCAGTGTTCCCGGATTTATGGAACAGCTAGGTCCACTTCTACAAAATACTCCAAAACGAACTATGGCAAACTATGTAATGTGGCGCGTCAGTGGATTCTCTTCATTCTTCCTTACGGAGAAACTACGAAAACGACAGCTACAGTACAGCACAGCACTCAGCGGTAAACAAGAACAGGAACCTCGCTGGAAGGAATGCGTAGATATCACTGCAGGAAGTCTGCCAATCTCAGTCGGAGCTCTCTACATCAGGAAGTACTTCAAGGAAGATTCCAAGCGTGCTGCCTTGGATATGGTGAACGGAATCAAGAATATCTTTGTGGACATTCTGAAGAAGGTCGACTGGATGGACGAAATCACTCGAAAATCTGCCCTGGAAAAGGTCGACTCAATGGTTACCCACATTGGCTACCCAGATGAGCTGATGGATGACAGTAAAATCACTGATTACTACAAAGATCTGAAATTCAAACCAGAAGACAACTACCTGAATACTATTCTCTATATGAATCAATTCGGAACGACTAAAGCCTTCAAGAAGCTTCGTCAAGCTGTTAACAAAACCGATTGGATTACTCACTCAAGACCAGCAGTCGTCAACGCTTTCTACTCCTCCATCGAGAACAGTATCCGTAAGTATTAGCAAGTTTACACCATAATAAAAGCATTTCACTAATACCTCACACCTTCAAACAGAATTCCCAGCGGGTATCCTGCAAGGTCAGTTCTTTTCGTACGAACGCCCGAAATACATGAACTACGGAGCCATTGGGTTCGTCATTGGACACGAAATTACGCACGGTTTCGACGACCAGGGACGGCAGTTCGACAAACGCGGTAACCTTGTAGACTGGTGGCAAACAGATACTAAGAAAGCCTATCTGGAAAAGGCTCGCTGCATTATCGAACAGTACGGCAACTACACGGAACCGAATGTGAAGCTGAGTCTGAACGGTATTAACACACAAGGTGAGAACATTGCGGACAACGGTGGCATCAAGGAAGCTTACTACGCATACAAGAAGTGGGCTGAGAAGAACGGTCCTGAGCCGCGTCTACCGGGAATTGACCTAACGCCGGAACAGATGTTCTGGTTATCTGCAGCTCAAACCTGGTGCTCAGTATACCGACCGGAAACCATGAAGATGCGCATCACCACCGGCGTCCATTCACCTGGCCAGTTCCGAGTACTTGGACCGATGAGCAACATGGTCGAATTCTCGAAAGATTTCAACTGTCCGGCTGGATCTCCTATGAATCCAACGAAAAAATGTGAAGTCTGGTAAAGCGCACAACGCTAGCTCGTTTCTCGAGTTCTTGAATTTTCTCCAGCTTTAGGACGGCCTCAAAACAAATCCTGTGTTCCTTCCGTTTCCTCAATCTCTACTCCGTTTCAGTTTTTTAACCTTTTGACTGTTCTCAACGAACAAACGTGATATCGTAGGAACCCTCAGTCAGTTATTGATTCATTTGTTGATTTGTTGAAAAGTACTTATAATTTCAACTGCTGAAATTGAATTTTAAACAATATTTTACTTAAGTAATTCTACTTAAGATGAAATTTTAATAAATATTTATTCCGACCGACTATAACAAAATAAAAAAAACTACATGGAAAACATACACACACAAAACATAAAAAATAGAAATAAAATACTATAATATAGATGCAGCAACAGCGCCGACAGTTATATATATCAGTCAGTACAAAACGGTTGCGCGCGATGTGCAAACTTATCCGAAATTGCTTCAGAAATCGTTAGCTTGTCGTTGATCATTCGTGTCTGGATGGATCCGTGTACTTTTCGTTACGGGCATAAACAGTAACGAATCTGTTGTTTGTACTTTTTGTATTAGCGTAAGGTTTTACTATTACTGTGTCATGAAATAGAATGTTTTCTATTACATTGTATTGTTTTAGACTTTTATTATTATATCACCATATCCATATTAGGAGATTGATAACTGAAGCGTAAAAACTAAATGAAAAATAATAATATGTGGAGGTTATGTCAAAATCAGATGAAGGCGTGCGGTGTAACATTGAACCATACTTGATACCTGATGAGCAACACAGTACGTTGTCCACGGAGGGGTAGGCGGATCTCAAATCTCTCAAAAACTGGCCATGTGGTCTGTGGACAGCCTCTAATCAAATTCTCAGTTGAGTGTTTAACCGGGGCTCCCAAGAAACCATAATTATTAATAATAAACAGTACACTCTCGCCGTTGATTTCCTTGGTCCATTACCGGAGGGACCAAATTTGTTTGTGGTCATCGATTATTATGCTCGGTTCATTGAAGTTTGCGAAATGCAATCCACTACTTCAAGCGACGTAGTTAGAGAGTTGACTATTATGTTCGGTATGTATGGAGTCCCTTCGGTCATTAAGGTAGATAATGCTCCTCAGATTGGTGCTGATTGTGCGGAAATAAAAGAGTTCTGTGCGTCAACAGGATTCAAAATTCTGAATACCATCCCTTATTGGTCACTGTGATAGATATGGTTAGTTTGAATCAATAATTATAATAAAAATGCTACTACAATATAAGCATTTTCATTATAATGACAACAGCATGTATTTCAAAATATTGCGCGTTTCACACCATATTGGACTAATAAGCGAGGGGGGCGACACATCTAAAACTCAAGTTTAGATGCTCAACAAATCTCACACTAGCTAATCAATCTTCGAAAAATCTTCTTTCATTTGTCGCATCTACTTGCATCGTGCATCATCTTTTTGCAGGAAATCTTCAGAATCGTCATCAATCTTCTTTCTATCTACTCAGCGTGCGTGCAGCTAGCCACAGCAAAACACAATCTTATTTGCATCGTAGATAGAGTCGCCCCCTCGCTAATAAGCGCGTTTTCACTTATTAAAAAGTGTGATAAAACTGCAAGTTTACGTCTAATTCACAATTTATTCCTTATGATGCAAGCAATAAGTGCTCCGAAGACATCAAAACGATTTGACGGAAACGTGCACTTTTATCACAATTTTTGCATTTTTGGGACATTCCAGTTTCAGATGCAATCAGCAATATAAAAAAAATTTAACCTAACTTTTGTCTATTCGATCTGCTCTAAACTTGAGTGAAATCAGTGAGTCAGCGTGTAGTATGATGTAAATAAACGCGCACTCACACACACACACGTGCTTGTTTGAACGAGCGAGACTATAGACTTCTATAGAGATTGCTGACGTTTATCGTACGCACACTACGTCACGTATACGTATACGCAAAATGTTTTCATCGGGAAAAAAAAACTTCATAGCGGAAAATTTAGCAATCTCTATAGACTTCTCTGACGTTCATTAAATGCACAAGTATTAGTGCAGAACTCGGGGTAAATTATAAGTATTAGTGCAAGAAAACCTTTGAATTTACCCAAAGTTCTGCACTAATACTTGTGCAATTTACAAACGTCAGAGAAGTCTATGACGTTTGTGAAATTATAAGCACAGACAAACAGACATAACACTCACAATTTGTTCATCGAACATGCATTTAACGGACAATTTAAAAGTATAGTAGTTGGTAGCACCGCCACCTGTGGCGCTCATAGTCGATTCCCTTGCGTTTGACGTTTACACACTACCGCCATCTGTTCTGCGTAGTGCCCACCACAGTGTACTCAACAGATGGCGGTAATGTTTTAGTGACGATGTTTTACAGTGAGGAATATTCAATGTGTTATGTCTGTTTGTCTGTGTTATAAGTATTAGTGCAAGAAAACCTTTGAATTTACCCAAAGTTCTGCACTAATACTTGTGCAATTCACAAACGTCAGAGAAGTCTATGGCTTGAGTGCTTCTCCTTGTACATGGTTCGGTTGAGTCAGTCTTGTAAAAGATGTTATAGGTAACTGTTGTTGTAGAACAGGTAGGCGCTGCATAGATACCGATTGATGAATGAATAGAAGTAGGCATTGGAATATTAGGAGTAAGGAATCATTTACAAGTTAAACGTCCAAGAGACAAGATGTAATTTGTTGCTCTAGATAGAAGAGAAAAACTATAAATGTGAGTATATGAGTATGAAACAGCAGTCAGTTAGAGTTGAACTAAGAATCCTTTCATTATCCAGCTTGAAGCAATAAAAACTGTATTCGCTTTCAAGAGTTTGTCTTCTTCGTCGCAACAAAATCTTCAAGATTTATATCTGCGTGGAATACCAGCACATAACTACCAGGACGCTGTACCAACAATATTAATCGGCTTGGACAATACGCGCTTGAAGCTTGCGCTAAAGGTTAGAGAAGGTAAAAAAGACGAACCGGTTGCTACCAAAACAAGATTGGGATGGGCAGTATATGGACAAGTACCTGCAGGATCAACAACGGACTATAATCATCATTTGCACATTTGCACGCGGTCATCGGACAGTGAACTTCATGAGATGGTGAAGCAATTATTTTCTGTTGGGAGTGTCCACCTTGTCACCAGTAGAAGGCACTGAAGAGAAGCGAGCTAAAGAAATTTTGAAGAAAACTACTGTACGACTACCATCCGGGCAGTTCCAGACAGGACTATTATGGAAATACGACAATATCGAACTACCGAATAGCAGACCAATGGCAGAACGTCGCTTGCAGTGCCTCGAACGGCGTCTGAAAAAACAACCAGATATGTATGAGAAAGTGAGAAAGCTGATTGCGGAATACGAAACAAAAGGATATGTCCACAAGCTAACTGTTGAAGAAATGAAGTCGCTTGATCGAAATCGTATATGGTACTTGCCATTAGGAGTTGTCATCAATCAAAAAAAAACCAAATAAAGTGCGACTGATATGGGACGCCGCCACGAAGGTTGGAGGACACAGCTTCAATTCAGTTATGTTATCTGGACCAGATCTCCTTACTTCGCTCCTATCGGTTCTTTGCAGATACAGACAACGAGAAATTGCTATCAGTGGGGATATAAAGGAGATGTTTCATCAGATCCTAATAAGAGTGGGAGATAAGTACATGCAGCTGTTTCTGTGGCGTGATGATCCTTCCCAAATACCGGAGGTTTATGTAATGGATATCACTACATTTGGTTCAACTTGTTCTCCATGCGTAGCACAATACGTCAAAAATCTCAACGCTCAAGACTTCGCAGAACAGTATCCCACTGCTGCTACAGCTATCGTTGAGAATCACTATGTAGACGATTACCTGGATAGTCTTGATACAGTTGAGGGAGCGGTGAAACTAGCATTGGAGGTAAAACTTATCCACGCCAAAGGAGGTTTTGAGATGCGAAACTGGTTGTCGAGCTCTAAAGAAGTGCTGGAACAGGTCGGAGATTCGAGCCTAGAATCTGTCAAGAATTGCAATACACAACCTGCTTTAAGTTTCGAGAGAGTGCTAGGAATGATCTGGGTGCCGGAATCAGACGTCTTCACTTTTTCTGGAATTTTCAATCAAGATAATCAATCAATCGTAACAGGTGAGATAATTCCAACGAAGAGACAGATGTTGCGATTAGTAATGAGCGTGTTCGATCCATTGGGGCTCATATCAGTGTTCGTTATCCATGTAAAAATATTGCTGCAAGAAGTGTGGAGAGCTGGCATCGATTGGGATGATGTTCTGTCGGAAGACCTGTTGCCGCTATGGAATCGATGGATAAAGCTCTTAAGGAACCTGGATGAAGTACGAGTGCCTAGGTGTTATTTCCCTGGCTACGATCCTGAAAGTTACGGAAACCTGGAATTGCATGTGTTCGTGGATGCAAGCAAGGACGCGTTTGCTGCCATCGCATATTTTCGCATCATCGACAGAGGTCAAATTCGATGTTCGCTGGTCTTGTCAAAAACGAAAGTAGCTCCTTTGAAACTCATGTCAATTCCTCGTCTTGAGCTACAGGCGGCTGTACTCGGAGCAAGATTGGCAAAATCAGCTGAAGAAAACCACACTTTGCGAATTACGAAACGAACATTTTGGTCGGATTCGAGAACTGTAATATCCTGGTTGCGATCGGATCAACGAAAATACCGGCAGTTTGTAGCTTTTCGAGTTGATGAAATCCTAGATGCGTCACGAATGGATGAATGGCGGTGGGTTCCCTCACACCTAAATGTTGCAGATGAAGCTACCAAGTGGGGAAAAGGCCCCACCCTTAGCGAGGATAGTCGTTGGTTTAATGTCCCAGGATTCCTGTACGAAGACGAGGCTACATGGCCAGAGCAATCGGAAATCTCAACACAACCTCAAGAAGATGAAGAAGAACTCCGTGCCGCTCGCGTGAATGTGCACAACTTAACACCACAATTATTCAACTTCAAGAGATTTTCAAAATGGGAGCGACTTGTGCGCCCAGTTGCGTATGTCCACAGATATATAGACAATCTTCGTTGTAAGGTTCGCAATCAATCGGTTGCAAAACCACAATGGTTAAACCAAAATGAACTTCAAAAAACGGAAGAAACTGTCTTCCGATTAATACAAAGAGAGTCGTATGGAGAAGAAATATCAATTATGGAGCAAAACCTGAAGGTGGGGCGTGAAGAGTATCAACGTATATCGAAAAGAAGTCAACTCTACAAGTTATCCCCGATGATGGATGATCGAAGTGTAATTCGCGTGGATAGTAGGATTCCAAATGCTGTGCACGTTCCAGATAGTATGAGGTATCCTATCATTCTGCCCAAGGAACATCATGGAACACAACTGTTGGTGGAATGGTATCATCGTCAATACAAGCATGGTAGCAACGAGACTGCGGTCAACGAAATGCGGCAAAAATATCACGTAGCCAAATTGAGAGATCTGTTCCGGAAAATCAAGAAAAACTGCATGTGGTGTAAGGTTTATCAAGCAACACCACATATTCCCATGATGGCCCCACTCCCTGAAGCAAGAGTGACACCGTTTAATCGAGCATTCAGTTACGTTGGCATCGACTATTTTGGA